AAAGAATTCTATGCAATTATTAATAGCTCTTCGTAGAATTTTACTACAATTAAGATTACAATATTATCGCTGTTTTGAATGATTCATTTTTAAATTACCATAAACACGTCTTAATCAGGGAGTTAGAATTTGCATAGACGAAAAGGATGTAGACTCATTCAGAGGCAGATTTCATATTAGACACCCATTTGATAAAATTGACATCAGGTTTTCCATTGACAGACATCTTTCATTGCCCCTCTTTAGTTTAACATCTAATTTAAAGTCCAGTGCATCAACCATGCATCTTCGTTATCAGAATCATGTCGTCCAGACTTTCCAGCATGTTATAATAAACTATACGGCTATATAATTACAGCTTCATTACGTAGATAGAACATCTTATTCGAATCGGGGTCACTTGTAGCATTTCACAATAATTCATCAGCGTGCACGTCAGAGAGAAACCTCCGTAGAGAGAAATACGACCCTGAGAGGAACAGAAGATAAAAGTTTTAAAAGAATGAGTCGAAGTTAACGCGTGCCGATCCTTTGATCCGGCACGAGGGTGAAAAGGTATTCGAGTATCGTCGTTTCAAACACGGTAGCTAACGACTCCGACGTGTTTCGACTCGCGAAACATCTGCACTTCTCACGCGTAGTCCCGTTTCAAATACATACTTGGCTAGGTGAAATCTACTCGCGACTCAAAGAGGCGTGAATTTATGTGCTCGCAGTGTTATAAGTATAAGATCATACTCATCAAGTTCTATACCACAACCGATGTTGGATTCTAATGACACGATAACAAGGAAGCACTTAGTTTTAGTATTTTGTTTATTCCTATGCAGCTGCAAATTTAATTTTTTTTAATCTAATTATTAATTTTCCAGTAATAATAACAATGATTTAATGAAAGTTTTCTAGGCAATTTCTCCGTTTCTTGTCCGGCCAGAAGGGAAATTTCTTGTCCAATGAATCAATGTGATAAATTTGATGTAAATGTAAGGAAACAGGCACGCGTGAAGATCCAGCTGTGACCATAGACCGGATTTCCGGATGTCGCACGCCGCGACGCCAAATTGCACGCCAGCTAGTAAGACGAATAGTTCGACGTGGAATGCGTCGCAATGAATCCACGAAACGTCTCTCGCGGCGCGAGCCTCGCGCCGGGATTCACCCTCCCCGACTGAACAATAGCGCGAGAACTGTTACTTAGACGCGGTGTCGCGGACGTGCGAGACGCGTCGCATTCCGAAGCTCGCAAACTGAATCAAGAGAGAAGGATAGCCTCTTGGGAGAAGATTCATGTACGCGTATACAACACCCTCTTCTAGACTCGTCGGTTAATTAGACGAAGCAATTCACATTCTTGAAGGATTATTTTAATGTTCGCCACTCGTCTTAAGTATTATAATAATTGATTAGATGTGGAGGAGGAGGAGGAGGGGGAGGAGGAGGCTCGCCGGAAATATTAGAGAAGTTTTAAGAAAATGCAGCCTTAAGCGTTTGCGCGCGGAGCCAATGCGAGGGAATAGTCGCCTCGATAAACTTCTTTTAGAGGGAAAAGTAGCAGCGCGGAGGAGCCGGGGAAGGGATGAAAATCGCATTGATTCCCGGGGGCGGTGGAACAGAATGGAGGCATTCGTCGAATGCAATTTTCCTGGAGGATTCGTCGAGCACGAGACCGAATTGTGATTTTAAACATCGCGTAAAAAAACATTCGACCCTTCCGGCTGCCCCTGGCCAGCTCCTTCGTGGAATTCACCAGTAATTTTCGTCGACCGTTTCGGTGCACGCTTCTCTCCTGTTCTTATTTCTTCACGTGTAAAACTTACTAGAAATTTAAATTAGCACGAAAGAAATACAAGTATTACAAATCTGAGAAACGAAACAGGGAGAAATAATATGCTTGCTATAAATTTTCTGTTTAACTTTTTTATTCAGAAAGAATTCTATGCAATTATTAATAGCTCTTCGTAGAATTTTACTACAATTAAGATTACAATATTATCGCTGTTTTGAATGATTCATTTTTAAATTACCATAAACACGTCTTAATCAGGGAGTTAGAATTTGCATAGACGAAAAGGATGTAGACTCATTCAGAGGCAGATTTCATATTAGACACCCATTTGATAAAATTGACATCAGGTTTTCCATTGACAGACATCTTTCATTGCCCCTCTTTAGTTTAACATCTAATTTAAAGTCCAGTGCATCAACCATGCATCTTCGTTATCAGAATCATGTCGTCCAGACTTTCCAGCATGTTATAATAAACTATACGGCTATATAATTACAGCTTCATTACGTAGATAGAACATCTTATTCGAATCGGGGTCACTTGTAGCATTTCACAATAATTCATCAGCGTGCACGTCAGAGAGAAACCTCCGTAGAGAGAAATACGACCCTGAGAGGAACAGAAGATAAAAGTTTTAAAAGAATGAGTCGAAGTTAACGCGTGCCGATCCTTTGATCCGGCACGAGGGTGAAAAGGTATTCGAGTATCGTCGTTTCAAACACGGTAGCTAACGACTCCGACGTGTTTCGACTCGCGAAACATCTGCACTTCTCACGCGTAGTCCCGTTTCAAATACATACTTGGCTAGGTGAAATCTACTCGCGACTCAAAGAGGCGTGAATTTATGTGCTCGCAGTGTTATAAGTATAAGATCATACTCATCAAGTTCTATACCACAACCGATGTTGGATTCTAATGACACGATAACAAGGAAGCACTTAGTTTTAGTATTTTGTTTATTCCTATGCAGCTGCAAATTTAATTTTTTTTAATCTAATTATTAATTTTCCAGTAATAATAACAATGATTTAATGAAAGTTTTCTAGGCAATTTCTCCGTTTCTTGTCCGGCCAGAAGGGAAATTTCTTGTCCAATGAATCAATGTGATAAATTTGATGTAAATGTAAGGAAACAGGCACGCGTGAAGATCCAGCTGTGACCATAGACCGGATTTCCGGATGTCGCACGCCGCGACGCCAAATTGCACGCCAGCTAGTAAGACGAATAGTTCGACGTGGAATGCGTCGCAATGAATCCACGAAACGTCTCTCGCGGCGCGAGCCTCGCGCCGGGATTCACCCTCCCCGACTGAACAATAGCGCGAGAACTGTTACTTAGACGCGGTGTCGCGGACGTGCGAGACGCGTCGCATTCCGAAGCTCGCAAACTGAATCAAGAGAGAAGGATAGCCTCTTGGGAGAAGATACATGTACGCGTATACAACACCCTCTTCTAGACTCGTCGGTTAATTAGACGAAGCAATTCACATTCTTGAAGGATTATTTTAATGTCCGCCACTCGTCTTAAGTATTATAATAATTGATTAGATGTTTCGTACAATAATTGATATAATATTTTATAAAATAATTCATGTACTAATTCGTACATTTTTACATAAATTTTTATCATATAAAAAGAAAACATCTGTTTGTATGTTAACGGAAATTTGAAAAATGATTGGAATATTTTCAACCTGGACAGTAGCTTTTTTAACATTATTATTAGGGATAATTACGAGGTCGAAGGAGAGCGAAAATGGGTTTTTACGTTCTTCTCAATATTTCTTTAACGCGATGAGGAAGCCAAGAAATTTCCCTCTAAAATATTACGCAATCAACTTCTTAAAATTCAATTTCTGAGTTTTTTAAAATAAGCGAACTAGTGACGGGAGATGCTTATACTCGATATTGCGCTAACATGGCAGTGACAGGTATATTTATTAGTACGTGTTCAATAATACATTATCCAGAATTATCTTGAAAAGGCGTCAAACCAGAGTGAAAATATTTAGTATACATAGAATACCGAGGGAGCAGTCGATAACACTTGCTTATTGGCAATTTGTCGGAGATGATGGTAGATGTGAGACTTCGCAGAGTAACGAAGGCGCGTTTTCCAAAGAGTCTGCCTCACGGCGTAAGATCGTCTCTTATCCTGGCCATCGGGTGAACGTCGAGATTATGGCGCGAGGCACTGCCAGACCCGAGCGGGCCAGGCGTCTTCCGCGGGATGCAATTTATCGTGTCGCATTAGATTCAAAATAATTGATCCCCCGGGCGGCCGCGGAATAGCGAGTCATTACTTCAGACTGATGGCACCGCCATCGCATCGGCTTCCGTACGGGGGAAAATAAAAACTGGGAGATCACCTGCTCCCGATGAAAAATCTGACGGCGAAGCTCGGACGAAATGGAATGGAACGAGTGTTCACCAAATGCAGCGATCGCGAAATTCAACTCTGACCTGTTCATGCGCTTTCCTCGCATTTAAACGAATTTTTTAAGGCGTTTTCAAATTATAATAGAAGAGATAGTTTATTATGTTAATTATACTGCTTGCAATAAATGATTTCTTTGACATCCTTTTTTATAGATGATTTAATGTATTTAATACTGAATACACGGATTCTTGTTTTTTTTATAAACAGATAAATTAAGTGGCGAGTGAAGTAAACATTATGAGTACGGAATTCTTAAAACGTCGGTTCGTTTCACGACTGGTTTATCAATCAGTCAGCCATTTGATCGCGCGTTCCGCACGATTGATCGAATTTGAACGGCGGCAACACGGCGATGGAGTCGGACGCGCAGCACCGTGCCAGGCAAATCTGGCGTAATAATGAAATACGGTATCAAATTTCACGACACTTAATAGATATTGTCAAAGGTAATATGTTTCGCGATACGGTTCCAACGCGCGAGGAGGGCCGTGTAGTTTAAAATGAAATTTGTATCCAGGCCGCTTTCATATTCATGGTCTATTAAAATTCGGCCAACTATATGCGCAGCGAAATGATTGAAACCTGAATAAAACACGACGGGACGAATGCCCGCGGCCGCTTGCACGCGTGCTTTTCAAATGCGTGTAATTAATAATCAAGGCAACGGCATGTGAATTGTTCTCTATACCGTACTGGAGAATAGTTTATCCGACAACGATTCGAAGCAATTATTCAAAGTCATTGAGTAAATTAAATAATGGGACGAGAGACTCACGTATGTCGTAGGCGTGAACATCGCGAGTCGGATAGAGCAGCGCCAGCAGAGCGCAGAAGTTGGCGATTATTGGCAGGCAATCAGTCTTCATGGTCGCCGAGGTGTCTTCATGGAAGCTAGTGGCAATCACCTGGAAACACATTATAACAATTTAATTCAAAATTGTTTAAAAACGGAAGGGTTGCTTTTTTAATCTCCGCTCCAAATTAATTTAATAATTGACGACCGTAGCATGTCGCGGGCCAGTGGGTCGAAACAAGAGGGGTTGTAATTATACTAGAATATTATATTACGAGCTTCTTTACTCTATCAGAATGATATACGTAATATAATGACGATGCAATTACAGGGAAGTTAGTATTGACGCAGGTAGTTCGCTGTATCTTACGAACATCAAAGCACTCTAATATCCATATCGATAATCGAGCTTCCCGGTGTGAAACTATAATAAATCATGTCGTCAATGCTTGCATGCTGTCCCGATTATTCGTGAATAAATAGCCGTACTAGCTCACTATACATTACAATACAAAATAGTCGCTATTCATTTCGGAACCGTCGATCGTACCAGTCATCAATTTCCGCCGATACATCCCGCCGCCCTGCTCCTTTTTATTCCGTGCGACACGCGTGCCGTTCTTTCCGAAAACGTTATCGTTCCCTTCCAATTTCGTCTCTCTGTTGTCCTTGGATCCGATAGAACCCATCGATCGTTATACTGTCACGTAGGGGGCGGCGGCCGCCGAAAATTCTCAACCCGGTAACATAATTCCCGGCGTGAAACGCGGTGCAAAAAGAGCTTAACCGACTTACGAGTAAAACCACGGTTCCTTTTGCTTGGCACGGCCGCTGGGCAACCCAGTCAGCCCCAAACGTTAGTCTCTGCGGTACGTGTGTCGCCTAGAGAAACACGAGGAAAGAGACTGACTCGTAATCGAGTCCCCGCTCAATTAGACCAACCTTGCACTTTTGCGTCCTTCCGTTGGGCCGTGCGAAAGACTAAGGGGAAGCAGGTGGGGGAGGAGGAGAACCCGGCATTCCTTTGGCTTTGCTCCATTTTTAGAAAGGGGCTCTTACAGCCTCGGAACTACCGCCGTTCGATGTGCTACCACCGCCGTTTGAAATAAAGAACGAAATTTCTACCGCTACGATTCTTCGGGCTAGACAAAGCGTAATTAACGGCACCAAACGTAATTGATCGCGACTGAGAGCGTCGAATCCATTGTCGTTAGATACCTTCTCTTTTTCGACGGTTTGGTTGCGCCGTTGCACGAGATTCGGGAGACGCAAAGGGTTTGATAGAAATTGATCTCCCTATTATTGTACAACCAATAGAACATACATTCTATAATCTTATTGCGAACACATTTTAGATTGAATATTGCATATTTTATATTTTTGTAAAAGGAAATTCTAGAGGATTATCTGCAGAAAATTGTTGTCCACGTCAATTTCTGAATTGACGTTACAAATGTTTCACTGTCTGTGAAACTAAAAATCAGCAACTGGCAGAGATATCTATCTACATAGTCAAATTTATGAGTTCATTCCATACAATTATATCTGATTCGCATTCAACGGCACGCGCATGCCATTTTTACTACCATGCACCGCAGAATTGAATATTAGATTATTAATTAAACGCTATTCTCGTAACTCGGCTGCTATACAATATCCAAATATTCCCGTTAATGAACTATTAATTGCAATTACTGTAAAGGTCGCTGCTACATGATTCGTCGAATTTGCATGATGCAAACTCCGATGCATGTAACACTCTTTAACCGAAACAATTAAGCTCGCACGTTTCGCGATTGTGCATCTATGATCTCTATTTTGTAAAGGAGTGCGGTTTACCGAGTTATCCTTTGATACGATTGTATTATCTATTGCATTGCATTAACTGTTAAGGTTTATGACGGCGCTTTATCCAAGTCATTTCACTATTAAACTCGAGTCATAACGTTCACCTTTAATTTCCTTCTATCTAAAACTCTTTAGGGGCCAAAATTTTCCAACTGGTTATAACGAGAAGGAGGAGAGTATAAAAATAAAAGCGACTGTAGGAGAACGGTAACTCAGAGGGCATAAACGAGTCTCGTATCGCGAGGAAGTTTCATCGTTAAAGGTAAGACAGGAACGGTGAAATTTTTCGAGAAACAGTTTCCGAGGAGTCGGTCCCGCGGAATGACGAGGACCCGCGTGGGGACCAATTCCTTTCTGCTGCCGTTCGCAAGATACGTTCCAGATTTTATGGACCACGAGAATCCGGAGTCAGTGAAACTTGCAAATTGTACGGCCCACCAACCGCAATGCTCGAAAATCCCGAAAGACTCTGTATCGAAACTCTGCGAGATAATCAACCTGTGCCTCGAAGTTTTTTTTACCGAATCATGTCTCTCTAAATGTTTTTCTACTTCCAGTTCTATTAGTGCGATAAATAATCAGTGCGCAAATACAGATAGCGCTTACAAAAATTATATCATCAATTATTCACATTATTTTATAACTAGTAAGCACGTAGAATAAATGGGAATATCCATCCTGACGAAAATGCTTTACGGTGTATATTATTTAAACCATAGCAATTCCCATACGAATTCCTGCGCACACTTTCACCGGCCGTTTATTCTAATGTTGCAACGCGTGCAGTGCAAGCCGGTTTCATAGAAATTGTCGAGAGTCCGTTAATGAAAATCGACGAAGCGGAGCAGCCGCGGCCAGTTCCGGCGGCCACTTGAAAAACAACACACCCGGCCGCTTCCGGGCACTTTGAAATTGGGTTAATTAAAACGCACCGTTTGCTGATTCGAACTTTATCTCTCTTTGTAACTTTGGAAACCAATTCCATTATACCCGCGGATCGGCCACGGCCTCGACCTTCCTTTTTGCTCTGTTGCGCTAACGTATCGCATCCTCCACACGGATGCTGTACAGAGGAAATTAACCAGCGACGCTGTTTACTGTACTTTGTAAATTATTCGCACAGAAAGAATTAGAGAAATCGCCCCGCACCGAGAATGCGTCTTTGAAAATATCACACAGTTTAGTGATTTCTGATTAAATTCGTGTATGCACGTGTTGCGTCACTAATCAATTGGATTTTAAATCTTATTTCCTCTCATTCGATACATTTTACAGTAGCGTACGAAAGTATTCCATCGTCTTTTAAATCGCAAAAAACATTGTTAACATTAGACTGAACAACATAATTTTCTGTGGGATAATTCGCTACGTAATGTGTATTAAAAATAATTTGTTAAAAATTTCTATTGACCGAAGAAAAAAATATACGTTTTTTTAACTTTCTTATTGGAGTTTCTATAAAAATTTGAATCATCCTATTTGTAGATCTAAATAAGTTATATGCATGTACAAGTATTTATAGTGTCAAAAAACAATTAATGTTGCTGTGAGTTACAAACGATTAAAAGTTTTCGCGACTTTTGCCCTAAAATTGAGATAAATTGAAGAACTTTTATATGATTTGAAGTGTCTAAATTTTTTACGCTTTCACCTATTTTTATAAAATCATCGTGAGTGTCTCGCAAACAGTTCCTCAGTTTTGCTCTAAAATAAAACATCAAAGAGAAAAATTTTATTCGACATTCTCGTCGTATTTTATATAGAATTATCACTCTTTCAGTTGTACCACCAGTTATAGCAAATGTCACAATTTCTACCGCTGGCTTAAGACTGTGTATAAAATTATAGAAAAAAAATGAAAGTGAGTAGAAATCGTGACATTTTGTACACAATCTCTCACGACTCGCAAGGCAGATATTATATTGTCTCGCGGCGACAAATATTCCCTTCATCAAGCGATATCATTCCTCGAAGTGATCCGAGTTCGTGAACAGTTAAATCCACCAGACTTTCGAGGCCTGGCCCAGAGGCAAATTACCCCGCGGGCAACAGAACGCGGCTAATACATTCTCCGAAGCAATATTGTTCTCGACAATTGAGAAATCGGGATCACGGGTATCTCGTGTATCCCGCTGGGTCGGTTCCTTGTCCGTTGCGCGAGACGTACTCCCAAAGGAGTTTTCATTCTGAATGGCTGCCAGAACACTGCCTACCCCGGTGGACCTATCGTTACCTATTATCGCGTACCCTGCGGTTTTAAGCTATCGCGGCAGCCAAACCTAAACGCCTTCGCGTTTTACCCCGCAGAACCTTAGCGAAGTCTTCCCTATATCCCGCGGCCTTCCTGTCACATAAATTTATTTATCTACAGCTATAATCTCTTTTATGTCTGTTACATATTATCTTGTACATTTGCTATCTTCCAGTTATCACCTATTAATCTTCTTATGCTCTCTTAATATTTTTTCATTTTCTATTATATTTTATTATTGCAATTAGCAATTGTTAAATAATAAATCATTGTTATATATCCTTCATAATATATATTTATTTCTGTTTTACCTGATCCGTAATATTAATCAACCAGCGTTTGCACGCGTTTTACAACTAATCTGTTGTGAGCGGGACGCGTTAATTTCAAAAATTACTGCGGCCAGGTTGCGTTTCGTTTCGCGGATTAACAGAACGCGCGAGCTAACTTGCATGTTATCCCCGGCATGTCCCTGGCCGCGCGTCTCGTTCCGCGATTTTTTCCATTAACGCGTCCGCGCTGCCTCTCTTTTTTATCCGTTCGTACTATGTACACGTATGACGCGTGTGTATTTTGCAGCGTGGGTTACAGATCTGTCAGCGGTGCATTTCTGTAATTCCCCGAGCTCGCTTTTGAAGATTTGCATACCCCGTCGGTTCGTGAACGACCGACGTCAAACGAGTTCGTGCGCGACTACGTTCCGTGTCCTGTATCGATTCACGATCGGCGCATATCGTTAAACGATATCTCCGATAGCGAACCCTGTTCCGTCCTCTATGCACGGTTTCCATGTATCGAGTCGCAACAGGATGAAGCCAGTTGCCGGCAAGGGAAACCGTTTCGCGCGCGGACTTGTTTTTCCTTCGTTCCCCGCTTGTTTATTCGTTTGCACCCTCGATGTGGAGGGTAGGAGTCGTTCGATAAAAAGGCGATTGCCAAACGAACAACGCTGTTTACCTGATAATGTAATAATAACGATTGCTCGGCTCTGCCAGTTCCTTGGAGAACGGTAC